TCTCTCTCTCTCTCTCTCTCTCTCTCTCTGTTTCGTTCTTTCAGCAGTTCTCTCCCCCTCTGTCACTCGGTCTTTCTCTCTCTCTCTCTCTCTCTCTCCCTCCCTCTCTCACTCTCTCCCTCTCTCTTTCTCTCGGCAGCTGACAATCTCGCAGTCTCTCATTCTCACGCGCTCCCCCGTTCTCGCAATAAATGTCTGTCGTGTTTATGCGTGTGAGTGTGAGTTTGTGTCGGTTGATCGGCTCCACGACGGGAATATTTATCCTAATAGAGACCGCAGCCACGGAGATTATTGGCGATAATGACATCTGTGACTGCGTCGAACACGAATTGAATGTTGTCTGTATCAGTGGCGCAAGTCATGTGGCAGTAGATCTCCTTAGTGGTTGACTTGTTCCTCGCCTCGAATTGCGCCTGGATGTACGCGGCTGCTTCACCGTACTCTTGCGCCCCTGCGATAAGAAAACGTTATCTTATTCACACTGCTCGTTCAAAGTGGCGCGAGATGCTTATTTAATTCTTCTCGCTGTTACAATAAAATTCATCGATCGATTAATTGCGACTGATCAAGAGTAAATTTGAAAATTTTTTCCGCAAAACAAAAAGCAGCGTTCAAAACGGCCTGTTTTTTTTTTTTTTTTTTTTTTTTTTTTTTAGGAATTTCTTTCTTCAAAGAATTAGGAATTCAATCTCTACGGGCGAAGTTAGTAACATCTGGCAGGAAGTTCTTTTTTAGATTTGCATCCCTCCGACAGCAGGAGATTGAGAACTGCCTCGCGATGTGATGTTTTAAGCTACGTGCGGTATAAATTAGGGACTGTGAGACGGGATCGTTCGTTCCTCTCGACTTGAATTTGCTTGCATCAATGTGAGTTTCTTTTTGTAATAGCAACGATGCATTTGAAAAAAGTTACTTTCTAAAATTTACTAAAATGCACGAGGTAAACAATGAACAGATTGTACACATATGGGGTATATCTTGTAAATGAATTAATCAAAATTTAATAAGTGGAGAATTTGAAATAAAAATATATATATAGTACATTAATATAACAATAATATAACAGTAATATAACAGTATATTATATATAGTATATATAACAGTATATTATATATAATAGTATATATAACAGTATATATATAATATAATACTATATATATAATATAACAGTATATATATACACTATATACTATATAATATACTATATATAACAGTATATATATAACAGTATATACACTATATACTATACTATACTATATACTATATATACTATACTATATATACAACAGTATACTATATATTATATTATATATATAATATAACAGTATATATATACACTATATACTATACTATACTATATACTATATATTAATACTATATACTATATATTATACTATAATATACTATTTAATTTCATAATATGATTAATTTAGAAAATAGTAAGATTAAACAGTTTGTAATGATAGTAGCCAATATTCAGTTTATCTAAAAATAATGTTCACACTGGTATTGAAAATTCAGAAGACGGAAGACACGCGATGAACGATACGCATTTAGATCAGTGTACCTCAAACAGGAGGATGTGGGGCTTTCTTGTGGGGCGTGAAGGAATCTCAAGGACGGTAACAGACTTTTTATAACAATGAGAGCTTTCCGCGTTTATTTTTACACCGTACGCGACTTTTGATCTTTACCAACAGATGACGCTACGACTTTCAAAATTTTCTTTTTTTCTTTTTTTTTTTAATTGTGAACTCGAGTTCACAAATTATTGTTAGATTATTGTTAGA